AAATCATACATCAGAATTTCTTGGGGGTAAAGAACTTCCCAAAATCCTACCTTAAAAATGAATATTTTATTTTCATTTCAGTATTTTACCTTCCAGCATTTGTTTATAATGCAGAAACATTTTTGCATAGTCAAAATTACAACGGATGCATAATTTTTTCTGTTTCACAGTGGAAGTAATTTATGATTTCATAATGATCATTTTAGTGGCCGTATAATGTTCCATTTAATGACACTTTAGAGATTTATAAAAAAAATGTGGCTGATTCTATTAAAACTACTGGAAGGGGAAAAAAAAAAACACAGGAAGATAAACTTTTCCCAAGCCCCATCTTCCTTTAACATAATAAGATGATTTTAAAAGAGTTAAAAAAGCAGAGGGGCTTACCAATAATTTTATTCTGGAGTCTAATCATAGACAAATCAATCGCAATGTTGCTTCTGATCTACAGCTTCATACAGTCACGTTTCAACCTTGGAGAGAAAATGGAAAATTTGAATTATATCCTAAGAAAAGCAGAGTTAAGCTAGAAGGAGACAGAGAGTAGTTAAGTTGAAAACAGAGGAAGAAATGTTTATTTTGTTGATCTTGAAATAAAAGGGCTGTCTTTCTAGATAAACTAGCAAACTGAAGACCAATACATGTCACCTGGATGCACACTGTTTGCTTTAAATCTTCAATAACAGATAATGAAATTAAGGGTAAGAGTAAATGATGCTTTTATACATTGCTCTTGGGTTTTAAAAACAAAATAGAGTTCTAAGGCAATTTTTTTTTAGCATTCTTTGATGAATTCATACTTTCAAAGCTTTTATTTGTAAGTCATCACAAATATGCTTTTAGTACAAAAGGGACTGAAATGGTTAATATCTGCTTCTGTCGAAGTACTCTCATTTGTTTAATGTTAAGCCCTAAGCTGGTGATTGAGGTAACCTGTCAAATAGGATGAAAAAGAAACATTTTCTGGAAGGGGTATGGTTTAAGTGTCTATAGGAAACATGACTAGAAGCAAAAGTTGAACTAGCTTTACCAGAACTCATGACTGAGCCAAAGACGTTTTAATTCTCTGATCTAACGAACTTCCTTGCTGAAATCAGTTCTTTAGCTCAGAAAAGCTAAAAGCCTCTTGCCATCCACAAATAGGTCTCTAGTTTAGTGACATCAAAACCAATTGGTCAGGGAGGCTAGGACACGAGGCCTGCTGGACTCCCTTCAGTAATTATGTTTTGAGCTCTTACTCTGTGCAGGACAAAGTGCCAGGGACAGCTTCCATGACACCCTTATTTAAAGGCATATCTTCTCCATTATCCATTGTTTTAAAACCAGACTTAGCTCTCTGAATGGTTTTATTTATTTTTTTATTGTGCTTTAGGTGAAAGTTTACAGAGCAAATTAGTTTCCCATTCAATAATTTATACACAAAGTATTCCATGACATTGGTTGCAATACCTGCAATGTGTCAGCACTCTCATTTCCGCCCTGAACTCCTCGATTCCATTCTTCTGGTTTTCCTGTCCCTTCCTGCCTTCTCATCCTGGCTTTTGGGCAAACGTTGCCCTTTTGGTCTCCTATAGTTGATTGTTCTAAGGACCACTTTTCTCATGGGTGTTACTGTTTATTTTATAGGTCTGTTATTTGGCTGAAAGGCGATCTCTGGGAGTGGCTTCCAATCCAAGTTAGAAGGGTGACTAAGGGCCATAGTCTTGGGGGTTCCTCCAGTCTCTATCAGACCAGTAAGTCTGGTCTTTTTTATGAATTTGGATTTTGTTTGATACTTTTCTCTTGCTCTGTCCAGGACCCTCTATTGTGATCCTGGTCAGAGTGGTCAGTAGTAGCAGCTGGGCACCATCTAGTTCTTCTCATCTCAGGCTAATGCAGGCTATGGTTTGTGGGGGCCATAAGTCCTTCAGACTAATTGCTTCCTTGAGTCTTTGGTTTTCTTCATTCTCCTTTGCTCCGGATGGGAAGAGATGGATAGCTGTATCTTAGACGGCTGCTAGCAAGCTTTTAAGACCCTAGACATTACTCACCAAAGTAGGGTGTAGAACATTGACTTTATGAGCTATGTTATGCCAATTGACCTAGATGTCTTCTGAGATTATGGTCCCCAGCCCTCATGTCACATAACTCAGTCCCTAGAAGTGTTTGGTTATGTCTAAGAAGTTTCCCTGACTGTGCTCCTTGTGTGCTCCATTGTATATGACTATACATGCAGCAGGTTTTTTAAACACATGCAGCACATACGAGTATGTATGTAGAAATATCCACAACTTAGTCTATACATGCACATCAGTGGATTCCCTTATGCTCTCCCATATCTATTCAGCATACATATCTGCCTATGTATCCACTTGTAAATTATTACTATTGTTACAGAGTTGTATATATTGTAGTATTTAGCATAGTTGCCTTTTATTCTTCCCTACCTCTCAGTCTTTCTTTGCCTTGGTCATGTTGTGCTGACTTCCCCCTTACTGTATATTGCCTTTTCCTTCATCAAAGTTAACATGCGTTAGTTGGTGGTTTTCCCTCCCTCTCCCTCCCATCCCTGGTAACCATCAAAGAATGTTGCTTCCTGTGTGTAAATGTTTTAACTTTTTATGATAGTGGTCTCACACAATATTTGTCCTTTTGTGATTGACTTATTTCACTCAGCATAACGTCCTCCAGATTCATCCATGTTGTGAGATGTTTTGTAGATTCATTACTCTTTATCGTTGCTTAGTATTCCATTGTGTGTATGTACCACAGTTTTTTTTATCCATTCACCTGTTGATGAAAATTTAGGTTGTTTCCATCTTTTTACTTTGTGAATAATGCTGCAATGAACATGAGTGTGCGTATGTCTATTCGTGTGATGGATCTCATTTCTCTAGGACATGTTTCTAGGAGTGGGATTGCTGGATCATATGGTATTTTTATTTCTAGCTTTTTAAGGAAGCGCCATACTGTTTTCCATAGTAGCTGTACCATTTTACATTCTGTATGGGTCTTGTTGGCAGTTTCCTGTGTGTTCCTGCCTAGTGAGAAGCTGTTTTTGTCTTCATTCCAGGTTGGGGGGACAGGTAGTGATGTCAGGTCTATCCAGAGCATCAGCCACTTAAGGCAAGTTCCTGGGGTGAGTGCTCTGGGGTCTCTTTGTAGCGGAGGAGAGGGGAGGAGAAAGGGTAATGTGTGGTAAACAGTGATATAGACCTCTAAATCACATGGAGACTGGAAGTGTTGAGCACCTTCTTCACACCACATTCTCCTTTAACCCCTGGTTAATAATCACAACAACTGTATGAAGAAGATTGTATTGTTTAACTGCATTTTATAGATAAGGAAGCTGGCTAGTGACCTACCGAAGGTCACAGAGTAAGTGGTGGATCTGGGATCCGAATCTCCTCTCTAGGGCTGCAAAGCCTTTCCACTACTGTGCACAGGGACCTAGCAGGATTTCAGATCCAGGATGAATCATAGTGTGCCCTCCACTCCCACAGTTTTACAAGGTGAAATCTGAGTAGAATGTACATCTACTAAAATAGTAAAGGGAAACGAGGCCATGGACAGGCAATGTGGAACCAGAGAGGTGTGCAGAGAATGCAGTTCCACCATTTTTTTTTGTCTTGATGAGATGCCCCTCAGGTCATTTTAGGACTTGTGTCGCTGCCTGCCTTCCAGATTCCTTGCCCATACCACAAAGACCTGTTTCCTCCACTAGACAAAAATGTGGTTGGCTGGCTCAGTTCTATCTCAAATAATAATTTCAAGGATCAAATAAGGCCCTTTGTAAACTAACACTTTACAGACTTTTAAGGGAGCAGACATCTTTCCAAGGTATTAGAGAACTGTGAAGCAGCTGATTAAAATAAATTCTTGAATATTTGAGATACAGTAAAGTAGAAATAGCATTTGGTAACTGGACTCCATAGATACATTCTAAAGCCACATTCTAACCAGCAATTTTCATCTTTCTGCGATTTGGCTCTTTGTAGAGAAAGAGAGAGAAAAAAAAAATGTGTATGTGTGTAAAATACCAGTAAAAAACCCACTGCTGTAGAGTCGATTCAGACTCATAGCGACCCGATCTATAGGACAGAGTAGAACTGCCCCATAGGGTTTCCAAGGCTGTAAATATTTATGGATGTAGACTGCCACATCTTTCTCCCGCTGAACAGCTGTCTGGTGGGTTCCAGCCACCGACCTTTTGGTCAGCAGCCAGCGCTTTAACCACTGAGCCACCAGGGCTCCTTCAAATACTAGTAAGATTAATTAAATTTCATCTCCTTTTGAGCCCTGTCCATACAATGATGGGATCAGGGCAGAACAAAAAGATCAAGAAAAAAAGCCATAAAGAGACATGCATACACGGCCCCTGCCAGTTAATACTGTGGTAATGAAATGTTATGGGGGGGGGCGGGACCTGGGGTGGGGAAAGGTTTCATATTATCCCTGGGGACCGCTCTGCTTCTGAAGATCCTTGTGGCAACATCCCAGCCTCTAACTCACCCAGGGCTCCCCCCAGTGGCAAGGGAAAGAGGTGAGTGGCCCGACGCGCGCGTACGCGTACACTCACGTGTACACACACATACACACAGACACACACGCGCGCACGCTACACATACACACAGCCCATTTCCTCCGCCTCCCTCTCCCCCCCGGGGGGCGGGTCTCTTTCTCTTTAAAGAGCAGACGGTCTCGGCGCAAACCCAGGCTCTCTAAGGCCCCGGGGGCCCGGGACCCGAGTCGCTCGCAGCCAATGGGCGCGGTGGAACGGCTCGAGCGCGGCTGACGCTGCTCCAATGGGCGGCCGCAGGGGGCGGGGGCAACGGAGGAGACACTATTGTTGATGAGGAGGAGCGGCGACGGCGGCAGCTGCACCACCTCGTTGTTGCCGGCCGCGGACCAGGCGCCCCCCCCCCCGCACCCCGGATTCCGCCGTCGTCACCCCGTCGCGAGGGCCTTCCCTCCGGCCTCGAGAATCCTCCCCCTGCAACACAACAACAACAAAACCCCCCGTCTCGCCCAGTCACCAGGGAGGGGGGGACCATGTCCCAGCGGGTGAGGCGCAATGGGTCCCCCACGCCGGCCGGCTCTCTCGGGGGCAGTGCGGTCGCCACGGTCGGGGGAGCCGGGAGTCGCCTGCAGCCCATGAGGGCGACGGTTCCGTTCCAGCTGAAGCAACAGCAGCAGCAACATGGCAGCCCCACGCGGAACAACGGCGGCGGCAGCGGCGGCAACAACGGCGGCTGCTGTGGTGGCGCCTCAGGCCCCTCAGGCGGCAGCGGCGGGGGCCCACGCACCGCCTCTCGCAGTACAAGCCCCACGCGCGGCGGCGGGAGCACGGCTGCGCGCACCAGCCCCACGGTGGCCACGCAGACGAGCGCGTCTGCGACGTCCACGCGGGGCACCAGCCCCACGCGCGGCACCGCTCCCGGGGCTCGCGGGAGCCCCCCACGGCCGCCGCCACCGCCGCCTCTGCTGGGCACCGTGTCGTCGCCCTGCTCATCGCCCACCCACCTGTGGACCGGCGAGGTGAGCGCGGCCCCACCCCCAGCCCGCGTCCGGCACCGGAGGAGGTCCCCGGAGCAGAGCCGAAGCTCCCCGGAGAGGAGGAGCCCGAGCGCCCCGGTTTGCAAAGCAGGTACGTGCCGGGGACCGCGCGGCGAAGGGGAGGCGGGCAGCGGGAAAGGGTCCTAGGCACTCGCGGAGCCCGCGCCGGGACTGCGGCGGTGCAGCGGAACCCGGGCGGCCGGGGGCGGAGCCAAGGTGGGGTGTGTGGCCGGGGGCGGGGCCGGGGCCCGGGTTGTGTGGCCCCGCCGCAACCCGGTCCCGCCCCGCGCCTCCGCCGTGGCTCACCGCCGGCCTCATTCATCCCTCAGCCGGCCCCGCGCTGGTCCGCGGCCGTGGAAGTGTAGCCGCTAACCTTGTGCTTGGGCTGGTACGTGTTAATTATAAACCTGGGGTTCTGGCCGCTCTGGGTGCCCGCTGATTATCGCTTACCTTCCTTTTCTTTTTCTCTTCCGTAAGTTAGGGTGAGGCTAGGAGTGGTTTGTCACTTTGTTTTAGTGACATGGTTAATGTTAGTAAAGCACATGTCTGCTGCTACGTATTCGTATTTCTTTTCCACAGAACACTTCCAGATCTGGGAGACTAAGTCCATTAGCATGGCAGATTTGTATCTGAGGAGACTTGAGGGTGGGAGCATTTCCTAAGACTTGGTAAAATGGGTAGCAAGAAGTGAGAAGGAAGTTTAAGCAAGATTCCTTTAGGAGGTTTATGGGCTTTATTTCAGGGTCTGGGAGTATTTTTGACATACTGATTTTGTGTTTATAATTTAAAACCATTTATTTGAATATCTATTTAAAAAAACAAAAACAAACTCCAGAGTCTGTCTCCTTGTTATTATTTTAGGGACCTAAAAACTGTTTTGTTTGTTTGTTTCTCTCTGTACCTAAAGCTTTAGAGATGTTGGGCTCCAGTGGAGTCATTCATAAAGAAGAGTAATTCAGTGGAGAAATTCAAACTGTGAGAAGTGGAAAGGGATAAAATGTATCATCTGGCTGCCTTGCTATCTGGACCTAGTGAAGAAAGGAATGAATGGTTTTTAGTTATATATTAATACTGCCAACGTACACTACCTTTGTTTTTCTGTCTGGAGAATTCTGGTTAGAATCTTCAGGCAGAAGATTCTGAAGAATTTCACAAAATTTAGTACAGTACTTTTCTAACTGAAGAAGTCAGACAAAGTGGTTGCAAGGAAACAGAAGGAGTAGTATGTCTCTTTTACTATTAATTTTCTGAAAGATTTTAGACAATGAATACTTTTTTTGGAAAAAATTGGCCCTGAAAAATGATCAGTAGTTTTTCCCAGTAAAAACAAGAGTACTATTTTAAATCGTCTGAGAATGCAAAATGCTTTTTTTTTCCACTTTGATTGTTAAAAGTACTAGAGCACCCCACCCCGCAACACACACATCATGATAGGTATTACTTATTGAGCTCCTACTATATGGTGAGTGATTTATATACAAGATCTCATTTTGACCCTCACAATGGCCTTTAAAGAGGTTAAGTAACAAGTGACACAGTTGAGATTTGATCTTTGCTTGTTGAAACTCCAAAGACTATCTTTTATGTTACATCAAGGAGGTAGTTTCATGATGTGTAAGATAGAATCTGACAAATATAGACCACACCAAAATTACATGTGGTTAGTTTTTGAAGGAACTCTTTAGAGATATCTGGTGAAAATATTATTGCTTCAGTTTGCCTTCAACCTTTTGGAGCCAGCATAGCATGGCAGGTGGAGAGCAGGAGAACTTCTTAAGTGGGCAGTAGAGGCGGAGAAAGGAGATGGAGGCCTCAGTCTGATAGCAGAATCGGGCTACCCTCTCAGCTATTTGACATTCAAAGTAAGACAGCAGCTTGAGGAGAGCCAGGTTGAACTAAGTATTGGCAATGTATGGAGGATGGCCTTCTTTCCCTCTGATCTCCAGGAGGGCTATATTTCCTAGGATCTCAGGCTTCTCTTGTGCCCTCCTCATATTTCTCAAAGCTCCTCACCCCTAGTTTTGTCATTCCATAGAGTGTTCATGTTGTAAAATTAATCCTCCTAAAAGACAAATACAGAAAAATAAAAATATTCCTTTAGTGCAGGACTCTCACCTGTGTGTGAAAAGGAATACTGCCTGTTATTAAGTCATACTGAGGTGTAAATGTCTGCTAGCTTCCCTCCCAGGAATGTATTCTTGTTTCATCCTAGTGAAATTCCAGGCAGTGTGGGATGAGGTGTTTTCAGATTCCAAGTCTTCACAGTATCTATTAGACCATTTGCTGTTTTTGTAAGACCAAATCTGGAAGGAGAAAAAAGGGAAACAAGAAAATCTTCGTGATCACCAGACTCCCTTTTTGATTGAAGGGAGGTTACCGCCAGTTTGCAGGGGGGCAGTGGTGGTTCAGTGTTAGAATTCCTGCTTTTCCTTCAGGAGAGCCTGGTTAGATTCCTGGCCAATGCACCTCAAGTGCAGCGACCATCCATCTGTGAGTAGAGGCTTGCGTGTTGCTGTGATGCTGAGCAGGTTTCAGCAGAGCTTGTAGACTAAGATGAACTAGGAAGAAAGACCTGGAGATTTATTTCCAAAAAATCAGCCAGTGAAAACCCTGTGTATCACAACAGTTCGATCCCATTGTGCATAGGGTTGCCATGAGTCAGGGTAGAGTCAATAGCAGCTAATAGCAACACTGCACATTTGCAGCTTCAATAAAATACAGTAATCCTTACTGTAGAGAATGATCTACCCCATATAATTCTGTAAACCTCATGCTGTAAAATGGTCGATGATAATATCTCTTTATATTATGATAAAGATTAGAGAATGAGAGAAAATTGAAAAATACTCAGAACTAAAACCAAACATACTGCTGTTGAGTTGATTTCGACTCATAGTGGCCCTACAGGACAGAGTAGAACTGCCCCATAGGGTTTCCAGGGCTGTAAATCTTTATGGAAGCAGACTGCCGCATCTTTCTCCTACAGAGCAGCTGGTGAGTTCGAACGGCTGATCTTTTGGTTCACAGCTGAGCACTTTAAACATTGCGCCACCAGAGCTCCCAGTACTCAGAACAGTACCTCAATGTATAAGTTACCTATTGTATGTCATATTAGTTTCTAGTTTTAGTGGATGTAACAAATTGCCTGTGTAGGCTCAGTTTCCATGGTTATGTGAAATTTCAAATTGGGAGAACATTGCCTGTGAACATCAGAATATTGTTTTTCAGAGTGGGTCTATGGTTCATCGGTATCAGAAGCCATTGCGGGTGCTTCTTAAAAAATGCAGCTGGTTCCCAGGCCCTAGACCAAACGTTGAAAGCACCCCCACTCCCAAGGTGATTTTGCTGCGCTCTGAAATTGAGAAACAGTTGCTGGAATCCCCAAGGACAATGGTTTGAAAACTCCTGCCATAAATAGAAGGGTCTAGTATTTATAAAAGTTATTTCTGCAGTGTTGCTGATATGTAGATGGCAAGTTGTGTTCTTGCTGGTTTTCCCTTACTTTGGATGAATTACATTGTGTATGAATTTCGTTGTATATTGGGGCGGGGAAATGACAAAGGACAGCAACAAGAGATGGACTTCTCTAGACTGATTGGCAGAACCAGGAAGGTAGAGTATCAGAACTCAGTATTTATGGCATCTTTGATTTCTGTTTTCTAGTACCTTGTGAAGTACACGGCTCTAAGAATTCACTGTTTCTAACATTTGGAGGATTGCTGCTAACTTCACACCTTCAAGGGAATCCTTTTGGCTTGTGATGTCTGTGTTTTACAATTGAAGATGAGTCAAAGTAGAACCTTACTCTTAGATGTGTATCTTACTTAGTAGATTTTCATTTAATTAAGTTCAATTCTGTAAGCTTGGAGTAAACTATTCTATGTATTAATGGCTGTGCAATATAAAGATGTAAAAGACACAGGGAACTCCAGAGACTCACAAACCAGCCATGTGATGCAGATACATAAATATATAACGTGATGAGCGCTCTGGGCTCATACCAGAAACCAAACCCATTGCCGTTCAGTCGATTCCGACTCATAGTGACCCTATAGGACAGAGCAGAACTGCCCCATAGGGTTTCCAAGGAGCAGCTGGTGGATTCGAACCCCCAAACTTTTGGTTAGCAGCTGAGCTCTTAACCACTGCGCCACCAGGGCTCTGTGGGCTCATAGAGGAGTGTAATTTGTAGGGGATGGGTATAGAAGTTCTGAGGAGATGGCTTTTGATTGGAGTTGGAAAGGGAGGAAAATAACTTTGTAGTTGGATCATAGAGGTGTGAAAATATGCATATAATATTCACTGTATTTGGAGCCTTGGTGGTGCAGTGGTTAAGAGCTTGTCTGCTAACCGAAAGGTCAGCAGTTTGAATCTACCACGCGCTCCTTGGAAACCCTATGGGGCAGTTCTGCTCTGTCCTATGGGGTCACTAAGAATCGGAATCAACTCGATGGCAAATGGGATTGATTTAGTTTTGATTTATATGGCTTAAAATGTAGGGCACAGGATATTGGGGAGGGGAGATATGGAGCAGTAGAAAAAGTGGGTAGAAAGATTTTCAGAATGACCTAGAATATTCTTAGGAGTTTAGAATGTATCCCACGGTTAATAGTATGTGTTCTAGAGCCAGACTGCCGGGGTTTAAATCCTGGCATCGTAAGTACTGGCTGTTTAACTTTAGAAAGCTAACTTTGTAGTCCCTGGGTGGTGCAAATGGTTAATGTGCTTGGCTGCTAAGGAAAAGGTTGGAGGTTCGAGTCCACTCAGGAATGCCTCGGAAGAAAGGCCTGGTGATCTACTTCCAAAAAATCAGCCATTGAAAACCCTGTGGAGCACAGTTCTACTCTGACACACATGGGGTTGCCATGAGTTGGAATCGACTTGATGGCACCTGTTTTTTTTTCCAACTGATTTTGAGTTAACTTCACCTATAAAAAACAAGGTACTAGTAGTACTTGGAGCCCTGGTGGTGCAGTGGTTTAAGAGCTATGGTGAGCTATGGCTGCTAACCAAAAGGTCAGCAGTTCGAATCCACCAGCCACTCCTTGGAAACTCTATGGGGGAGTTCTACCCTGTCCTATAGGGTACTTA